TCGCTGATAGTACGCGCATAAACCCAAGAAGCGACGTACTGAATTCTTGTCTTTGGGTGTCGGGAACTTCGCTATGGCAGCTGTCTTTTGGTGATCTGGTCGAACGCCTTCGGAGCTGATGACGTGTCCGAGGAATCGAAGCTCTTCAAAACCGAAGTGGCATTTTTCTGGCTTGATGGTCAAGTGTGCTGAACGAATGGCTTCTAATACTGAGCGAAGTCGCTCTAGATGTTGGTCGAATGTAGCGGAAAATACGACAACGTCATCCAAGTACACCAAGCAGGACTGCCATTTCAGTCCCGCGAGGACAGCGTCCATCATTCTCTGAAACGTCGCTGGCGCTGTGAACAGGCCGAATAGAAGTGCTTTAAATTCGTAGAGGCCGTCTGGGGTTGTGAATGACGTCTCTTTACGGTCGCACTCATCCACCCCAATTTGCCAATATCCGCTCTTGAGATCAAGGGAAGAGAAGTATTTCGCACTCCGTAGTCGATCGAATGTATCATCGATACGCGGCAGAGGGTATACACCCCGTTTCGTTACGATGTTCAGTTTCCGATAGTCGACGCAGAATCGAAAGCTGTTACCTTTATTTTTAACAAGCACTACGGGAGACGCCCATGGGCTGCTGGAAGGCTGGATCACGTCATCTGAAAGCATCTCCTCCACTTGTTACTTGACGACGTCTCTTTCCTATTGCGATACTTGATATGGGTGTTGGTAAATCGGTCTCGTGGCTTCTTCTGTTATAATCCTGTGTTTTGCAACAGCCATGCGTCGCACCTTGGAGGACGTTGAAAAGCAGTCCGAAAATTCTTTTATAAGGGTGAACAATTGTTTCTTTTGATATTCTGGGAGCCTATGGTTGACGTTAACTGATGCGTCGACGTTGCAGGTCTCTTGGGGAGTGGTTGGCGTTGTCGCTAAACTGCATAGTTCAGTTGTCATGCAGAACTCGTGGAAATAGGCGATAGCCATCCCTTGCGCAATGTGCTGACATTTATTCTCAAAATTCGTAAGGAGGAAAACTGAGCGGCCATGCCTTAAGTGAACAATACTCCTCACCACGCAAATTCCTTTGTTTAAAAAGAGCCCTAAGTTTCCATCCGCAACTCCTTCGTGGTCACAAAATGCCTTATTTTCAACAAGCACCATTACACTACAGCGTGGTGGCACTGTGACGTCATCATCAACAACGTGCAGAGCAGTAAGACATCGCTTTTCTGATTCCTCCACCGACATAGCTTGTTCGATCGAGAACGTTACACTGGATCTGCGCAGATTAATTATGGCTCCATTGGCTTGCAGGAAATCCATTCTTAGTATAAGCTCCCTTGAACAGTCCGACAGTACGATGAAGTCAGCAACGTAAGTAAAGCCTCTTATTTCGAGCCTTGAGGGGCATCTGCCAAGCGGCGTAATAGTGTGGCCACCTGCCATGCGTATCTGTGCCCCACTCCATTTCGTCACAATCTTTTTCAGTTTCTTTGCCAATTTGTGACTCATTAGCGAATAATTAGCGCCGGTGTCAACTAAAGCATTCAGCTCGTATCCGTCTATTTTCAACCGCAAATCTGAAGTAATCTTCACACTGCTGCGCTTATCCGCTGTAAACATAGCATCGTCACCTTGAAACAGTGATGGAGGATCTTCGCAACTGTAGTTATCAGCGACCTCACCTCCACAGTTCACTTGATTCAGTTTTCCAGGTGTGGGCTTGTAGAACGATGCCCAGACCGTGCGGAAGAAGCACGTGGGCTGGGTGATCGGTAACGACTTGGCGACGGCGATCGTGGTTGATGTTGGCGTGGAGTGAGTGAGCTCTGGCGCGTGGACAGGTACTCTTCGATCTCCGTTGGCCGTTCACCGTTTCGAGGGTATGGTGCGTACAACAGAAAGCTCCTTAATCCTGCCTGTCGGTAAGGGCCGAACCTATGCAGGTGACCCTGCTTCCCGCAATGGAAACACAAAAGCCTGCGCTCATGGTCACGCCAGATGTCACTTTTCCGGGGCCTTTGATCCACGTAGCGAGCTACACCATGGGCTCGTGGCAGGTAGGTAGCTGTCGGTCCTAGTGGACGAGGTGCGCTGCGTACCGTCTGTGGGCAAGGAGAGGCCATCGCAACTGCTGCATTGGTGTGCGCCGCGGGTTGTCTGAGTATTTCAGAGTACGTTGGGATGCGTTGGATCGGCTGTGGCGCACGCTCTGGCTCACGTATTATCTCCCTCAGTTCATCTCGTACTACGTCGACGACAGACAGTGTTGCTGTAGTGTGAGGTGCTTGCAACTTGCTGAGCTCTTCTCTCTACAACCCCTTTTCTCCCCTTTATCCCTTCCCCAGTGCAGGGTAGCAAACCGGATGTGCGTCTGGTTAACCTCCCTGCCTTTCCTTGCATCTTTATCTCTCTCTTTCTTCCCTGATCACCGACCTGATGATTTCTCGCAGTGCGTCCATGTCACTTCGCTGGCCTCCAGAGAAGACATTGGCAGGTGCATAGTTTATGTCTCGATTGTACTGTCGAGCCCGCTGTTCTAGCGTTTTCTCCATGGCTGTCGCTTCCCTACGAAACTCCGCAACTGTTCGTGGTGGGTTGCGTACGAGAACAGCGAAAAGCTCTTGCTTCCCCCCACGCATGAGGTGGCGTAGCTTCTTATCTTCAGTCATATGGGAATCTGCGCGCTTGAACAGACGGATCATGTCCTCGATATACATTGCGTCACTTTCGTTAGTGAGTTGGTTCCTGGATTCGAGCACCGCCTGCGCCTTTTCCTTGCGATCCGCGTTGGCATAAGTCACCAGAGCTTGTAGCCGAAATTCATCCCAGGTCGTAAAGGACGTTTCATCGTTCTCATACCACGTCTTTGCGAAGTCCTCCAAAGCAATGTATACGTGGCGGAGCTTCTCTCTCTCGTCCCAACCGTTCAAACTTGTCACTCTCTCAAAAAGGTTCAGCCAATTTTCTACGTCTTCATACGAGTCGCCATGAACTACTGGTGGCTGGTGAGGCTGATTTATCACCACTTGAGCCGGTGATACATGACTTGTCATGGTGGTGGCGTCCATTGACTGAGTTCCCCTTTGAGTGAAGTGCAGTGGACTGAATTTTGGTGAATCACCTCGAAGACGGCGACTGGTCCTCTGATGCACAGGTGTCAGCTCCCCAGGATCGACTCACTGGTAGTCGGGGCTACGCTGTCTTGCGTTCGTAGGGATTTGATTCATTAACCAGCACGTCCACCAGAAATGTAACGATGTTGAAGGACTCGGAGTGTAATAAAACGTATTTAATAAAGGGCGAACCTGTGCCCACAACTCAAAGGGACTATGGTCGTAGAACGTTACTGCAAACACCAAAGATGTCTCCTTCTTCTACTTCTTCAAGAGGAGTCCAAAGCGCGTGGCGCACATCAGCCGGGGCCATCTGGGTTCTCGTGCTATCATAATCGTCTCTGCGCAACACTAGACGGCGCGCATGTATGTCCCTGTGCGCGCGGTGATGGGCGCGTTGTTTGAATGCAGGCAATATGTCGCGGCAATATTACATATCAATACCGTTATTACGTTGTGTAACCTGTCTTTACCTTTTGTTTGCATTTCTGTATTTTGAGCTCATTGTCGTACAACCTAGAGCAATTTGTTCGCTGTCATATGTATTCTACTACAACCTATATTTGTTGCACTATACCTATGCAAGGCTGGAGCCATGGAGGAGCTTGTGATAAGCTAGCTTTCTCCATCTATTTAAGTTAGTCGTCCACTCATCTGCTTGGTAAACGTCGCATCAATCCTGCCCTAATTTTGACTATACTAATGAACTAAGGCCTAATGGCCAATACACTGACCTGTTTTGTTTTCATTGATAAGCTTTCAAATAAAAGGCATTTATCGCGGGCCCAATCAGCAAGGTCATGATCAGTGTAAGCTAATAAACGTAATCCTGACTTGCACGATCCTAATTATCATATTAGCTAGGACTTATTACCATAGTCCTACTTCGCGTACGTGTTCATGATTAACGTCACGTTAATTAACAAGGTTCAGATAGCTCGTCAACTAGCAAGGTTTAGTTAGCCGGGTGCTCACTTATACAGCTTCATTAGCATGGTGTTCTTAAGATGTGGCGCAATTACGCCAGCCTTACCATAACTTGGCGCAATTAGCTTGGCCATAGTATTTGCTGGCCCAGCTAGCGGAGTACACCACCAAGACAGGTAGCTAATTACCCGGGCGCGTGCGCTCGGGTGTTGATAAAAACTATGAAGAGGGCACGCACTGGCTAAGCAGCGCGCTCGAATGTGCAGGCCGAGCATGATGATTAACACGTGGCCTCGGGTTTTGCTGTGGTCGTGATGTTGTAAGACGCTCGGCAGAAACTAATCTCAGAGGCCACCTTGTAGAGTATTCTAAAACAATTTTAGTGCAGGTATTGAAAGCTTCAAAATAAATTTAAACACCCCGTGCCTTTAGAAAAATATCATAACGAAAAGTGTCTGACGCCTGCATTGCACGGCTGCACTTCTGCCATTGGTTAAACGAAAAACAAAGGAAAGAAGATGCCTGTGGTTTTAAACCACCACCCAACTTTGTCGACCGTCCTGGACGCGATGCCAGGTCCCTTTGTAACGAATGAAATGCCGCGCGCTGAGGGAAGGGGGGGGGGGGGGTCGAACTTTTTTGTACTATTTGCTCATTAAAAAAAGGGTGTCGCCAGAGCTCGCAGAGATCCCGAGCTGATCCCCAGTTTCGCCAAGCTGGAGCGATCCTGCATAGCGCCCCTGATTTCGTTTGAAATTGGCAGTATTTCAAAATTAAAAAAAATAACTCAATAAAAATTTATACGCACTCTGTCGCAACTTCTATGTCACATTTTCGGTGAGTGTAAAACTTTTTTTTTTGAACTTTATGGGTGCCATTTACACCTCTTTTCACGTGCCCGCTTCATCGAGTGCCAATACTATAGCGTGATGGGCTACCGAGCCGAATAACGCCGTCACTTACCTTCTTCATGTTGCTCGTCGTAAACGCGGGTGTCAGGAGACTGCGCATCTTCTTCCAGCGCTCTCCCTGAGCATTGATCATGCTTTCTTTGTTGATTGGATGAGTTCTGGCGAAGCCAGACGACACCTGAAAGTGTTGGTATGTCTTAACATTCATTGCTTTGCTGTGAATTGTTGAAATCACTTCGTACTTTTTTTGCATGATTGAGACACCATTCGATGTTTCGAATACAGAAACAATGCAACGAGGATAAACAATAAGAATTGCATTTACTTGTGCGGGAAATGAGAGTAGACGATGCTTGGCGTGTGCACATATTTATTCTGCTTATTTATTCAGTGAAAGCTGTTACGACTTCACAACTAGGGTCTCGCGCAGCGCCGTAGTTGTCCAGCACCGCCGCTGATGTCTGATATATATATATATATATATATATATATATATATATATATATATATATATATATATATATATATATATATATATATATATATATATATATATATATATATATATTCTTAATACCAATGACACAGTGGGGAGGGATCCGCTTGGTGCCAGCCCAGTATTCTACCACTAAGCGATGCTAATGCTTTGGACTTGTTGGCAAACTTGCCTTGGGCAGGCTTTATGTCGGGAAAGAAATCGCGTCAATACGACTTATCAAGCGTTTTAAACCAGCCAAGCAGTCGTCGCACAACGCGAATAGCGTAACGAGTGAATCATCCAATCCTCGAACCCATTACAAAAAGCTTGTTTTTGTTCACGAATTAACTGTGGTGCAAACCCACTTCAGACATAATTCCTCATTGTCGTCAGCAACTGCATGATCAATTGGCACAAAATTACTTGCAATTGTTTAGCGGATACCACGCTTCTCAGAGGAGTGACGAAAAACAGCATAGCGAACGCCAGCCTACTACGCAAAAGTTTATTAATGCCGTAGTGGGTACCGAGCAAGTGTACTTGCAGCAGTTTCCCAGTGAGAGTTTAGAAAAGGCTCTGAAAGGCCGCTGTTCTAGCTTTCGCTATGGCTATGCTGCGCCTTCCACGCAGGCTTGGCGCTTTTCATTTATTTCTAATTGCGCAATGCTCTCTCCTAACTTTCTCCTCCTTCGCTGTCGGGTACAGTGCTTGGTGCTTGAGCTCCACGCAACACTGCTCTTGCTCCAGGCCAGAACTACCATCGCACTTGTAACAGTGAAACGCAGCGACGTAAAATTAGTGGCTTCGATTGCACAGTTTGAAGGGGCCCTGCAACACTTATTGAGCATGGTCAAAAAACGCTTCCGATCGGCAATAAAGCCTGCCGACAACAGGCGAGCAAAATAATATAGCGTAGCGCACGGCCTGGAATTCACAATACATTATCTAAGTCAGCTCCAAAATTGCTTTCGCTTCTCTGGACAAATCACGGGATATGCCAAAAAATCACATGTAGCAAGCCCATCTATCAGCCATTGGATGGTTTGAACATAGCGCGCCCACTCGTTACAAAGATTGCCGCGGGAGGCCGCCACTTGTCCACAAGTGCGCGCACGATCATACTAAAAAGCCGCGCATTCGAAGAAAAAAAAAGTGCTCAATGTCAGGAGGTGCGCTTGACGTTTTTCTGTGGCCCTGCCATCCCCTCCTGCTTAGCTCCCAGCGCTTTAGTCGGGACGAGAGAAGAGAGAATGCAATTTCAGCATGCGACAGACTTCTATAACTCCACTCGCACTGGGCGGATTCTTAAAAGTATTGCGGCATTGAATTCGTGAGCCAATAGGCTCTTCCAGTGAATTCATTCCATGGTTACTTGAAAAAGTGTTTGAGGGCCCGTTTGAGGACGCATGTAAATGACACTGATGATAACGATCAAAAGTGTCACTTTTCGCTCGTGATAGCCAACATTCTCCAACATAGACGCAAATAAGACAGCCCTGTTAGCTCGTGATATGGTGTATCGATAAATTAGTACACGCGTAGCACCAGGTTAAGCTTATCTAACTCCGAATCAGTGTTGGGTATGATGCACGGGAATTCCGGGAAAAGTATTGCGACGAAAAGTTCCCTGCATTATCCACTTTAAAAATTCAGTTGGAAAGCATAGCAGTAACATTTATCAGGGGTCTATGGGCATGCCAAAAGCAGCCCGAAGTATGGACGTTTATGCTCACCCCACGGCCATGAAAATTATGGAAATCCTTTATTTGGATCTTCTTGATTAGTTCCGGGTCTTTCACAATAAGAAATGGGTGGGCACCGTTGTAAAAACTGAAAAGTGACGTAAAAAAGAAGGTTACATGTAGAGGACTTAGCTTAACCATGTTGTGCCAGGTCGAAAGTATATCTTGTAACGATAAAATAACAGTTCGGGAAACTCGCCACGTTCCTTGTGTCTTTTGGGGTATCGCAAACGATTTTACATGGCGCTGACTTTTGAACCTGAATGAGAAATTTCGGGTAGTCGTCATGGCGATAACGTGCCCGTATTTCAACGCAGAGTGTTGCACTGAGATAACCTGAATATGAATTGGCTAATAATCAAGGTAAATATTGTACTGCACCTCACGTGTTTCTGAAATCTTTATGCCTTAAACAAACATCCACTAACTACTGTGCAAAGCACACAAAAAACAGCTATACCATACCTAAACCACATAGGAACTTATCTCCAGGTATAAGGGTTATTTTTATCGTTGCAAAGTAGCTAACATTGCTTCAATAAATTGTTCACGAAGCACATTTCTGCAAAAAAGAAAATGCTTACGAAAAATAAGAAAACTAGTACACGTACCCAACAATGTCTCCATATTTGTCCAGCCATTCCTTGTATTTCTCCAGTGTTCCCTAAAAAGGAACAAATGAATCAACTGCTAGATTACACACAAGAGAAAATTCAAATAGATCAGCTCTCTTCAATTAGCTTTGTCGATGTTTTTATACACTGTTTTGACATTTACAGCACTTTAGATTTATTGTCCATCAGTAATCTAGCCAGCTTTAGTATATTAGTTAAAGTTCACAATTTCTCTTTTTGTCACACCATGGTGTAATAATGGTCACAAGTTTTTCATGCGTGAATAACGAAGTCGCATCATCGCAGAGTTGCTTAGAACACTTAGTTTTTTTTTACCACCTTGAACGGTTGAAAGGTTTGTGTACAGCTTTATTAGGCTTAAAAAGCAACAGAATGCTTCAAGGCTTCGAACATCATGTGGCGTTAACTTTCAGGAGCTCTCGAGTAACTTCCAAAACCTGTTTAGAGTATATGTGATGTTTACTTTCAGGAGAATTCTCAGATAACTTCAAAAACCTGGTTCGGCTTTCATGTGACGTTCACATTAAGAAACATTCTCAGATGACTTCTCACTCTCGGTGCATGCTGTACTCGTTACAAAAAAATGACCAACCCGAATATTTTGTAAATACATTATTGGATGACAATTTGCCTATACCTTTTGGATAAGTTCGGACAAGTTTCCGGAAAGAAAACTTGGTGGGGGACCTGGAATTCCGAGGTCTTTAAAGAAGGAAAACCGCCTCCTGCGTTGTCTGAAAAGCACAAAACACATAAGGCTGTGATAACTTCTTTCCAGCTTATTCATCTTTATGCTACTGCTTGGATTAGGATGTTGGCCAGGATCCTCCATAAAAGCACTAAATATCTACCGCTGCCTCTGCTCCCTTACCGTGGTTGAGCGAAAAAAAAAACAGCTGCGTAACAAAGAATACACCAAAACGAAGTCCCGTGGTTTTTACAATGGTCTGCCGTTAGTAAAGAAATAAATAGAGAAGTCATAAGCCAATGGCCGGGGCCACTATTATGGTGGGAAACGTGCATGACTGCAATGGCGTACTCACATGGGCAAGCTAACTGCGGTTACGACCAACGAAGGTTAACTGCGCGGAAGAGCAGTGAGCGCCAACTATGGTTCACCGATTTAACACACCTTTAAAACTTTTTCGGTTAAGGCCAAAAACGCTTTGTAGATATGTAACCACTAAACCAAGGTTGCCAAGCTCAGTTGTCTACAATCGCGGTGAGCGGCATATTCGCGGTTTCACGTACCGTGTAACATAGGCGAGACATAGTTTGCTCGAAATCGCAGTTGCGTTAACCACAGGCTGCTTGCGTAACAAGGATGTCACCGCTTATACGGGGCCGACTTGGAGCTCCTCGTATACATTACTGGGAAGGCCGCCTCCGCCTGCACATCTCTTACTGCCCTCGTGCACGCCAATCATTGTGAGGAACGCTGCAGATCGGACAAAGTAGTTGTCGGATAGGACTTATGTATAGCATTGGACAAGAACAGTGGTAATTCGAGCTTCTATGGTATACGATGTTCAATGTAGCAGGGAAAACAGTGGGGAACCCCATCGATTACTCTGAGCGAAAAAGATAAAACTCCCGTATTTGGATGACGCTGGCTTGAACTTCTCGTACAGTCATTTCAGAAAGAAAAAAAAAGTCGATTATAAGTAGCGCACGTCCTGTGGTACTTTTGTCTCCGCATTTTCCGCGATATGGCTAACATCGTTTTCGTTGTGGTTTGTCAAGTTATGTCTTGGTTGTATCACACCTCTTAACTATGTGGTAGTGCGAGTAAGGGAGGACAGGAAAAGCCACGAAGACACAAGTCTTCGTGTGCGTTTGCTGCGACTTCATTCATTTGCAGGACTATGTAATTGGTAGTTTCGTCCAAATTAAGCGCAGAAGAGTAGGTGGTTTTAAAGATAATTTTATTGTAAAGCTGTACTAAGCGGAAGCTCATCAGGGTGGCATCCTTATATGGTCCGGTAGTTTAAAAAAGTCCAGGCATATCTGTGGAGTGAATGATGATGAGTGGGACGAAGCGTCCATCCGTCTTTTCATGTGTCCCGATGCTCGTACGAATAGATGAAAGCACGGACGGATATATGAAAGTACGGACGAATGGATGGACGGCAGCACAGACGGGAGTATGGACGGAGGAATGAATGAATAGACGGACGCATGGACTGACCCACACACGAAGAGACAGACAGATGTATGGAGGCACGGCTGGAAGTACGAACGGACAAACAGACAGACGGAAGCACAGATGGATGGATAGGCAGACGGATGGATGGAAGCATGAATGGATATACAGAAGAAGGACGCATGGACGAACTCATGGATTTACGGACTGTCTGTATGTCTGTCTGTCTGCCCGTCCTTCTGTCTGTCTGTCCATCCATCCGTCTGCCTGCCTGCCTGCCTGCCTGCCTGCCTGTCTGTCTGTCTGTCTGTCTGTCTGTCTGTCTGTCTGTCTGCCTGTCTGCCTGTCTGTCTGTCTGTCTGTCTGCCTGTCTGCCTGTCTGCCTGCCTGTCTGTCTGTCTGTCCGTCTGTCTGTCTGTCTGTCCGTTCGTCCATCTGTCTGTTCTTCCGTTCATCCCTCTGTCTCTCTATCTGTCCGTCTGTCTATCCGTCCATCCATCTGCCTGTCCATTCGTCCATTTGTACTTCCACCATCATATCCAACCTATATAAAACTAAACCACACGGAACACGCGTTCACGTCATCTATTGCATACTTCAAGTACTGCTACAACATTGCCCTTTATAGCAAACATTGTTAGAAGTAAGTCGTAGGTACTACGAAGGATGGACTGAACCACAGCGCAACGAGCTTCGCCCCTAAGAAAAAAGAGGAGGGGGGGGGGGCTAATCAGGCCCTGTGCACATCACCACCTCAATCTCTATACCCGGGCTTGATTTCTTGGTGGATGTCATAATCGACAGAGACTTGTCTTGGACCCCACAGGTAAACTACGTGAAAAATGGGCTGACTGCCATTAGCAACTTGTTCAAGTTTCTTGCCGGAAAAACTTGGGGAGCGTCCGTCGAGTGTATGCTACACCTGTACAAAGTAGGAATGGTTGAAATTCGGTGCTTCTGCCTACCTGTAATATCTCTTAACACGCGCAAACATTGGGGGACCTTTAAGCTTCGCCATCGAGAGATGAACGCGATAGCGAAATCCGGCCCCTAGTGAGACCTTCAACCGCTAAGTGCATACTTAATAACATTGTCACGGGTACAGAAAGGTACCTCAGGCACGGGTGGAGAAACGACGCAGAAGGATTGAAGACAACGATGTTGTTGTTGCGGAGCTGTGTCTGGACTGCCCTGTTGCCCTGCATCCTTGCACACTTTATGCAGTGTTAACCCAACCGGCGTTAATCTATTAAATACTCCCCGTAGCATATTTTTGGTGGAAGTGCTGGGTAACATTCCGACTCTGGGTCTCTGTAGCGGTCGTCAGCTTCGTCCAGCCATGATGCATGAAGGCAGTGCGCCGTCCGTTCAGTCTACGCCTGCTCCGTCACCTCTGATCCCTTACCATCTTCTAGATCCAGGTACATTTTGCGGCATCGACACAACTGACGTTGACGGGTGGCTCACCTTATACGAGCGCGTCAGCAAGCAATACAGGTGGGATGAGACGCTTATGCTGGCCATCATAATCTTTTAACTGCGAGGTGCTGCACGCGCCTGATATGAGACGCACGAGGAGGACCTGATGAGTTAGGACGTGCGCAAGCAGAAGCTCCGTGACTTGTTCGGCCGGTCAGTTGCTCGACAAATAGCAGCAAGGCAGTAACTCGCGTCACGAGTTCAATCTTCTACCGAGTCGTACGTCACCTATATCCAAGACGTGCGCGCCTTGTGTCGGAAGGCCGATAAAGATATGACCGAACTAGACAAGGTCAGCAGTGTGTGGAAGGGCATAGCCGACGATGCCTTCAACACTCTGATATGCAAGAACGGTGCCACCATTGACTCAATTGTCAGCTAATGTCGGCGGTTCGAACAAGCCAAAAGCAGGAGAATCACTCAACGCTTTTCCCGACTCCCGAACACCGCTCCGACTTCCCCCTGCGAGGATCCTGTGGCGCCACGTCCATTTGAGAATCCTCCAAACATCACAAGAATTGTCCGCCAGGAGCTGGAAGCCATGGCTTCTTATTCCACTTATCAACCCCCTGTGCCTGACAACTTGGCCTCAATATCTTTTATTCAGGCTGTTGTGCGACAAGAGTTTGCCAACATGGGCGTCTTAGTTTCCCAAAAGTCCAGCCACACACCGCAGCCCATAAATCCTAACACTCCCTACCAAGCCGCCCCACTTTTTGCTGCTGCCGCGTTCATCTGAGTGGCGAACACAAGATGATCGACCGATATGCTTCTCTTGCCATCGCGTTCGCCACATTTCCTGCCACTGCTGCAACAGATGGTCATTCCGGCAACGTTTTCTAAACGACCACCAACAGGATTGTGGGAAGTATTCGCCACCTAGTTTTGCCGATGACCACCTTCAGGACCTTACACCTAGCCGTTCTACGCTACGCTCCGAACCATCCCACGCCGATGTCGTCGCCCAGGGAACCCGGTCCAGCCGCTTGCCGTCACCTCAGTGTCGCCAGCCGCGCTCCTATCAACGCCGTCGCATCCCGTCACCGGTGTATTCTGGGCAGTTCTCGGGACACTAACAGATGCAGCTCCTGGAGGTGGCGCTGCATTGACAACTCAGAACAAAAACCCTCTACCGACCGCTAATTCCAGACGCAATTGACTTGGTGTTCTTATTGATGGCCTGACCGTTACAGCTCTATTAGACACTGGTGCCCACATATCCGTTATGAGTTCACGTCTTCGATTCCGCCTGAAAAAAGTTCTTACCACTGCCATGTCTTCGACTGTGCGAGTAGCCGACAGCAGCCGAACATCAGTTCTTGGTATGTGCACTGCCCGCGTCACTGTTGCCGGCCTTCACACTTCAGTCTTCTTTGCTGTTCTAGACGCTTGCCCACACGACGTGATTGACTTGACGATGGCATTGACTTCACGGCACGACGGCATTGACTTCTTAACCGCGCATTCAGCCCTCATCGATTGTTCAACCGACGCTTCACAGGTAGAGTTGCCTTTGTACTCTGATGTCCCTCCTGACACTCCATGGAGTGTCTACGATTACCGCCTCGGGCCGCTGTCTACCTTTCTATGTCACCGTTCATTTAGCGCTTTCTTTTTTTTTCCGCAACCACTTTGAACAATGGCAATTTTTATGGTAAAACAGACGCTTGTCACGCAGGAGGCCTGGGTTCGACATTTACTCGAACTGATGCCTTCCAGTAGCTATTTTACTCGCACCGTTCCTGATTTCTCGCTCACAACAAATAACAGTGACGCCCAGCATACCGACGCCGGAAATTTAGCGAACAACGGCCATTCAACAATTTCCTGCCATTGGCCTCCGAGATGGCAGACGGGCTTTGTTCAACCAGGCCCCGCTAGATGGCACGACCATTCAGTTTAACCAGGCAAAAATTTAACTCTTGAACCACTGCCACCATTTGTCATAGTCACGTCCGTATGGTAGGCGTGCTTGGTTCAGCTGGGAGATGCTAAAGGCGCAACTTATCCAGTTTAAGCAGGTGAAAATTGAACTTGTGAACCACTCGCACCGCACGCCATAGTAACGTCCTGTGGTTCTTCTTTCCATGAATCAAACATAAGTGAACAAGCAGCATTTTATTAGGTCTCTTGATGCACAGAAGGCTCTTTATTTAGTGCAGCTAGTTTGATTAGTACTGAATAATGGTAGGCAATAACCATCACGTGATCAGTATCATTTTGCGAAAGTCCTACGCGTGGCGCATGTGTTCTCGTGCATTTGCTTTAATTTCTCGGTGAGTAGGGAACTGCTGTTGATAACATTGTTGTTTTAGACGTTGTCGTAGATTGCGCTTTAACTCTGACGTATATTGTCATTTCGATTCAGTGCCCCTTTAACGATGAGCCTGGCTCGAATATCCCGCATTGTCACGCAACATGTCACGTCAAAACCCCGTTTCTTTCTTTTCCTTTCATTAAACGGCTTGTCTCCATCCATTGCTGGTGCTTAAGTCATACTTCCAACCTATGCTGTAAACGTTTCCTGCCTGATTCGGCTGCCCGTCAGATATTGATTCTATCCGCACGGAATCCTTAGACTTCTGAGAATGACCCCTGTGTTCGCCTGACAATAATGTTTTCACGAAATGCAACGCCAACTGTCCACTTTTTCTTGGGAACTTTACCTCCTTGTTTTTTGTGCGTAAAGGGAAAAAATCAGGTGGGAGAGACAACAGCCCCCCCCTCCCCATTACAGCCCCCTCCGAATTATATCGCTGGCTGGGGCACTGCCTGGTGATGGTGCGGGATGTGTGGCCTTAAAGCAAATAAATGGGTGTAACTTCGATGAAAGCAGCTGTGGTTCAAAAAGGCATCCAAGAGAGATCAAAACTACATTTGAAGAGTAGCTTCATTCACAAAATTGTGGCCGAGTTTCCTCAGATGAAGCCAATATTTAGGCATAAATGACTCATGTACCGCTTCTGTGCACTTGTAATGATGGTTTTCAAATAGAAGCCCGCAAAGCCATTTTTGAGGGTCCACTAAATTCATTAAAAAATTTACAGATCCCGCGTACAGTGGGAATCAATGGTATGCGTTGCGCCAATAAGAAATGTTGATATCTCACTTTAAAATCAGTACAACGTTGCGAGGTGGAAGTAAATGATGCCGTACAAGACTTCCCTGTCTTGACTATCATGTTTGGATGTGTCGCTCACCTTTATCATGTATTCACGTCACGTGATACCAAATTGAGTATATGTGGAGCTAGCGAAACGGCCGCGAGCACGCTTTGAGCGTGGTATGTTGTCATCTTCTTACATGACACGCGTGTAAGGATTATCATGTTTGCACCAGTTATATATTTCGTCATCTATTGACGCCACGTAACAACGAATTTGGTATGTTTGGAGCTAGCAAAACGACCGCGAGTGCATCATGAAGGGCCCAATATACTCCAATGTTGCGTTGACACGTGTGGGCACAGCGACGCTACGTTAGCAAAATGCGTGCGCTCTATATTCTGACGCCAGGCGCGACCAGCGTCCATCGGCGCGGCCCGAAAGCAACCAGCGCGAAATGCGAAATGCTGCATTTCGCGCCGATGCGCTACCCACACAACGCTGCGTCTCCCTTTTTTCTTGGCGGAGAGACGCCGGACGTGCTGAAACCCGCATGCGTCAAAGCAACGCAGCGCGGCGTGCGCCCTCAAGAATATGACAGGACCGGCACCTGGCGTGGCAACGCCGGCGTTACGCGACGAAATAAACGCCGGTGAGCACGCGCACCGCATCACGTCAGACTGTAATGGCACCTTGACTGTGGCATGTAGTCATGCTCTCACATGACACGCACCTCATTATTATCATGTTTGCACCAGTCACATACCTTCGTCATTCATTGGCGTCATGTAATACCACATTTGGCATATGTGAAGATGGCGAAACGGCCGTGAGCGCATCATCAGTGTGGCATGTAGTCATGTTACATGACACGCATGTCGAGATTATCATGTTTGGATGTGTCATTCACCTATGTCGTCCGTTCGCGTCACGTAATACCGAGCTTGGTAATGTGAAGATAGTGAAACGGCCGCGCGCCCATGCTGAGAGTGGCATGTAGTCATGTTGTTACATGGCACACATCTCATGTATATCATGCTTGCGCCAGTATGATACCTTCGTCATCTATTCTTGCCCCGTAATACCAAATTTGGTGTAAGTGAAGCTAGCGAAACGGCCACCAGCGAACCATGAGCGTGGCATGTAGTCATTTTGTTACATGACACACATATCATGACTACTATGTATGCACGAGTCACATACCTTCATCGTCCATTCACGTACTGTAACACCGAATTTGGTATTTGTGACGCTAGCGAAACAGCCGCGAGCGCATCATGAGCGTGGCATGTAGTCATGTTGTTACATGACACGCATGTCATGATTTCATGTTAGGGTCTGTCATTTGTGTTAGGCATGCAATCATGCTATACCATACCACTTTTGCAACATGCCATGTGAACGAACTCACCACAAGAGCTGCAGAACCGTGAAATGTCAATCATCACATTCATGACATACATGTCATGATTTTAATGTTATGACTAATCAAATACGTTCTTCATACAGTTATCTTATGCCATACCAAGTTTGGTATCGATACTATTATCGAAACGGCCAGGAAAGCTAAAAGTTATAGGCGGCTGATAGATAGACAGATAGGTAGATAGATAGCGTCATATTCGTCAAACCATGTTACCCCCCTCCCCCCATGCTAATTTTGGTTCACGCCAAGTTAAGGGGGTGACCATGAGAGCACCCAAACGTAAGAGGCTCAATAGATAGATAGATAGATAGATAGATAGATAGATAGATAGATAGATAGATAGATGGATAGATAGATAGATAGATAGGTAGATAGATAGATAGGTAGATAGATAGATAGATAGGTAGATAGATAGATAGATAGATAGATAGTTACGGTTAAAGTCAATTGATTGATTGATATGTGGGGTTTAACGTCCCAAAACCACTATATGATTATGAGAGACGCCATAGTGGAGGGCTCCAGAAATCTAGACCACCTGGGGTTCTTTAACGTGCACCCACGGTTAAAGTCAACGAAGTTCGCCAAGAAATGCTTCTTCATTACAAAGTACAAGCGCACAGCACGATTGGTTACTCCCAAATCAAAAATTATTTTAATAAACAAGGATAACAAACAATACCTCTGATTCGGTCAATGTGCTGCTTCCAAAACAGCGCTTCTAAAAGCAACTACCAAAGGCCAGATATGGATATTCTAAAACGACCTGAAGAATATCAAACACGAGAAGATGGCTAATTTAGTAACAAAGTTGGAAAACAACATACTTCGAGTTTCAAAGACAAACTGATCAATAAAGGAACACCGAAAACACTTAATGACGCTGCTAAGCCGAGCTGTGCTTAAAAATATGGCATCATCATTATTTTTACCTCCCCATGTTTTTTTTTTTTGCATCCACGGAGCACAACATCCGTTATTTAGGAAGCAACTAGCCAGAAAAAAAAACTATGTACGTATTTCGGCTCTGGCAATGATTGCCGCTTGTAATCTAGCGAATAACTCTATAAATCACAAGAACTGCTATGCGATGGAGCAATAAATTAGAGGCTGTGTTCACAGACCAAGGAGTGAATTAAGCTATCTGCAAAATTTTATATTCCAAAATCATTAACGGCCGGGTGCAGTACACATGGCTTCGACGAGGCGTTCAGTCATCCAAGTTACACCTAAGTAGATTTTACCATGAAGTACAAAACAGGGTCAAAGAATGATGAACATAAGAAATGTGCCTCAGCTTAAATTTTTATTTCAATACGCGATGTAAGAAGGGATTACAACTGGAGAAAACACTGAAACTGATTGCAGCGACAGTATTATACTGAAAACTACACGATACAAGCAGTGCATTGAGCACGCAAGAAGTTAGTTTCTCGTTTATGAGGGCGATATACACTTGCGCATCTGTCTGCCTCCCTGGGAAGTTTATGTGCATAGGTTTAAAAGTCTAAAACTTCCTATTTTTCGAATCATTTAGTGTTCACATATCTGAGTTATATCCCTTTGAAACGTGTTTCCAAAGTGGTACTTACATGAAGAACCATGTTGCGAAGACGACGATCAAGCTCAAGAGAAACACTTCGAGCATGATTCGCGCGAGTGCGGCGCCCTTGTGAAGCCGAGTGTAACAACAAGAGTTGTGCCCGAAGGACGCCCTGTGTAAACCTTCTGTGGCCTCTTTCACGCACCTCTGATAACCACGCCAGAAAGGTTGTTCGCTTATCTGCGGAGCCGGAAATCGTACGAGTACGCACTTCATGATGTCGCTGTTATTCATGATATGAGATAGGTACTTGTTTCAACATACATATGCGCGCCCGCTACGTGGTATAATGTAAAAGTGCGGGGTTGATCAACCTACTTTAATGTATATGAGCGCCCAAGTACAGCGCACGGATGAAGGAACGCAGTCAAGAACCGCAGCAATTGCTCGCGTATTGAGGCAGTACTCGAGATGCGAAGTGTGGAAAAGAAAAGGAAAAAAAAAATCTGCTAAAGAACAGTTTCTTTTTCGTTTTTTTTTCCCGGAACAGTTGGAAATATTGGTCAAAATTTCCGTAGGGTGAAACACACAGAAATAAAGCTTAGGCACCAACCAGTGTTGAACTTGAAGTCAAAACATCGCACATATTACGAAAACACCATATGACCGCTCACCACTCGCCATCGACATCACATGAAGTCAGCTCCTCCAGCGTCAGCTTAGCTTGGATCTACAGCTTAGCTCCGGGTTTGGTTTGGTGTGGTCATGAGGGGGCAGTTTGTGATGTTTTTTACCCATTATTGTTGAATATTGTTCAGTTTTTGGTACCCATTATTGTACACTTCTGCAACCTGCGGTCGAAGTCCACTTATAAAGCCGTGCGCAAACAGGTTCTGCCATGGTTGGGCTAATTGATGACATGTGAATGCACTTCATGGTCGAGGAGACTGGTGGCGGGAAACTGGGAGTGGCCGTCTGTAAGCACGGCAACAGCAGCTACTCTTTTCTCAATGCGACATCTTAACATGATGAAGACTGCTGCAGTTGCCAGTGATACTAATTCTGAGTATGAGTTTGAACTTCATCTTTTTACCATCTTGATCAATGTTTCCATAGTTTAAAGCCTCGACGAAATAGACATTTCTTTGTTCTAAATGCCGTAATTGTTTTAGAAAGCCGCATTCTTTAAAAGAGAGCTCAATGAGTTCGCGGTGATGCTTCTGACTGCCTTCGATCTGTTAAATGCCGAATTCGTTTGTGAAAACAGAGAAATATTTTCATTTCTTCTATTTACATAACGAAAGTTATCGCTTTTTGACCCTTGGCAGTAAACTATTACTACATGGCAATAAGCTAATGTCGTATGCTAAAGAAAATTTGCTCTTTTTTGTTTCTTTCCAAAATTTTGGAAGAAAAAACGTGGAAAAACGGGTGTTTTTTAATTACGCAAAATTTTCGAAAAATTGCATCTCTAGGCAGGACTGCAGTTTAGAGGATTCGTTTCCCAGAATCACTAGGGAAACGAAGAACTTCCTTCGGAGAATGCGACAGCACAAAAACGACCTCCATCAACCGAACAGCCCACCGAGCGCATTAGCAGAACACTGTGAGTGGTTTGACCACCACAACCATCCGAACCTAACGCGGTGATTAAAAAAAATCGACGTACTAGTGACTTCTCCTCGAATCCTGGCACATTCAGCAGATAGCGGGGAACAATAACGGCTCCACTGAGACATTGCCCTCCCTCTATTGCCCGGGTTTACGACGAGTCACGGCGAACATGTCATTCAAGGCGAGCAAGCGTACTAAGCAGCGCACATCTCGGGCTTTCTCAGCTCTGCGGAAGAAGCTGGTCTGGCTTCGAAACGTCAAGTTTTGTGATTACAATTTTCTTTGGAGTTTTCTGATTGTCTTATGCTTGCAGTCTGTCTCTGAGACTGCTTTCCCGCAAGAATAGCCTCACAGCTGCCTACATCAGTCAACATTATATTTAGAGACCTCATTCGTCGTGACGTGATGCAGCTATCTGAATAAAAACTGGCCTACCAATCGGTTTACTTAAAAAAATGATGTTGAATTGAAACCCGTGAGTCGTGGACATGAGTAAAGAAAAAAATGGGACACTGAAGCGAAAGTACTTTTTTCACGTATTAGTAAATAAACCTTCATAATAATGAAAACACCACTCTAGAACACACTTTAAAATTGAGAGGACATGTGAAAAAGACGTGACGACGCCAATTCGAAATTGTCCGCACCGAACGCCGTTACGTCACATATGTCGATGGCATCTACATGCTCATGTGTAGTTCGTAATCGCGAAAAAGCAAGTACTTGGTCCTCTCACGGGGCCATAAACTTGCCATACCAAGTTTCGGAAAATTTCTGTGAGCCGATATTGCAAAAATACGGAAATACGTTACTCGTGGTGATTGAATACGTTACTCGTGGACATGGGTGAAGAAGTAAAAGAATAAAATCTTTTTTTTCACGTATTAGTAAATTAAACCTTCATATAATGAAAACACCACTCTTTTACCGATAGAACAGGCTTGAAAATCAAGAGGACGTGTGAAACAGACGTGACGACGCCAATTCAAAATTGTCCGCACCGAACACCGTTACGTCACATATGTCGATGGCATCTACATGCTAATGTGTAGTTCATAATCGCGAAAAAGCAAATACGTGGTCCTATCACGGGGCCATAAACTTGCCATACCAAGTTTCGGAAAATTTCTGTGAGCTGATATTGCAAAAATACGGAAAAACGTGGTTACACGTGGTGATTTCGGCGCAAAATTCAAATCTTAAACTGGCATGGTAATTTCCTTCTCGAATAATTAACTCATGGTAGTGAAATATAAAAAAATAAAGTTCTCAGAGTACAAGTTAAAAGTATAAAAGAATTAATTGAGCCAGTTTAGCATACTTTTAAGAGCTTCTCAATCACAAAATGAAATCAGTGCACAGGATAAGACAAAGTGGAGAACATTTGAATTGATCTTTGTCCGGCAGTAGAATGATGCTGGCCGAGAATAATGATGATGGTGGTAATGGCGTTCGGGACTCCATGTAGGCACTGAGGTAATTTACCACAGACGCGCATGTCGAACCAACTGAGCAATTCCTGGCGCTAGATCACTCCCTCAATGAATTGCATGCATCGCAATAATCACCCCCAATTTGAGTCTCAACTATTATGTATGTATTTATTCACTTATTTACGCCAGAGCCCAAGCGTCTTTCGGCATTAAAGGGGGGGGGGGAAGAGTGAGTAAAAAAATAAAGAATTAAGTGTGGTAGCAAACTATACAGCATCAAAGACGACTATAGGGTGCCCAAAAGTCCACCATAGTGGTATAATAATGCTGCATACTTATGCAAATCGCAACTGCTGCGATGACGCCACTCTCGACGCATCCAATGGCGAGCGTGCTTGGGGACGACGTAACTGAAAACACAGCCAATCGAGAGCGCTTATGACACCACTGCCAGATGGTATTTCGTCCCTGCTAGCCGTATACAGCTGTCGCTGTAAAAGAAGATCACGAATGCACAAGCATATAGTAGGATCTCTAGCAGTAATATGAGTGAACAGTCACTATAATACATGAAGAATTATTTTATCTGTGCAAACATTTTGTCACTAGATGATATTAGTGTGATAGACTGGTATAATTTATTCCAGTCACGCATTGTTCCAGGAAAGAAAGACGTGATAAATAAGGCTATTTTTCGGGAAAATTTCAAAGATTTAATTTTGTGGTCAGACATATGGGAAGAGGATTTTGATACTGTTATGTAAAAATGCCTGTTCATAACGAGTTTTCATGAGAAGTCACGGGTCATAAAGCTGATAAACCTTTCCACGGCTTCATTAAATAATGATTTTTAATATGGCTGTGTCCGACAAAATAAATTCTGTTCCTTCAAAATGCCCTTCCTTCATTCCATCATTCAAGCCATTTACTTCCTTGAGGGGGAAAATCTACGGTCCATAGGGCGCAAACATCCGTCTGCTGTCGTGGCCATTTCTATGATGAATTCCCTAGGAACAATGCTGTCCACTGCAGATGGCTTGTCACTAAATGACGCGGACAGCGATTGCAGCAAGCGCTTCCATGATCTGAGTACTATCTCTCACGGGTGTATCTATAATGAACATTGTGAACGATAGTAGCTAGGGCATCAGTGCACATGCATTTGGTCACTGTATATACATCATCATATTCTTCGTAATAAACAGGTGATAAATTTGAACTGACATGTCTTGTTCGCATTTTTTCGCTACGCTCGATTCTTTTGGTAAGCTCACGCAAAAAAAAAGTTATCCTCATATGGGCTTGTTTGTGGTCGTCCTTGTTTTCATCTGGACTGCAGAACAATGAATCGCTAAGAACAATCAATGACTGTGAATCACCAACTTGCCCAATTGTCCACTTTTATTATACTGCAATTGTGTGAACGTCATTGCAACTGATGTAAAATGACTTTCATTGAGCGGTTGACGTAATCAGGCTTAGTTTTATTGTGCACAAATGGAGTGCTACGTTGCGGGAAACACCACTGTAGCAGAACAAGTCATCGAATAATGCTGTTCGGTTAGAGCCTTGATATGACCAGACAATTTTTTTCGAATTTGGGCCAGATGCCATCCCTGGGCATCGCGAAGATGAAGGTAGATTCAAGCTCCAAGTCTTTTTACTGCAATAATAAACTATGCGTATATGAGTGCTCATGTCTGGATGGACCTAAAAATGACTATGCAAACCATTGTCGTATTGCCAAGTAAGTGTTATTGCTAATCTCGTCAAATTGCTCTTGAAAAAATGCAATTCAGAAAAAAAACGTCGCTAATCCCTCTTTCTGGTAGTTGGTAAAACAACGGAAGTGAAACGCATCTTCATAGAGATAGTTGAGCGTTATTTGTGCATTGGTTTGCCTCAAGGCCGAACGAGTGAATAAATTGGCAACTAATTGCAAGTTCACCCGAAGAACGGCAAGTAGCTCGAAACTTGCGGCGCGCACCTGAAATAGAAAGCAAGCACGAAATCAGCACGCACAGGCCGAGTGCGGACTAATACTTGTCAAAGCTCGACTATTAAAGGACGCTGTTAAAACAGAAAGAAAGACGTACGAAAAGAGAGCTCAAGTCGGCACAGGACAAGCGCGAACATCAGTCCCAATCCTTAGTTCTTCG